GCCTGCAGCCAGCTCTGCAACAATATGAATGGTGATAGCTGACTTCCTGAAGGCACAGAGCTCAGGGAGATGGTAGAGAAACACCATAAAACAGCATCTGAATCAAATGCAACTGTATCTGGCTCAGAGTTCAACTGACTGAGGTCCAAGCTGAGCTTTGCCAGTGGCTTGATCTTGGGTCAGTGAAACAGGTTTCCTTAGTTGCAGAATGGTTATAACAATAACACCTATTCTCACAGGGCAGTGGTGAGGATTAAGACAACTAATCAGTGGAAAGTGTTTACCACAGTGCCTGACATGGTAACTTCACAGAAAACATGAGATCATACATAAATATATACAAATACATTTAACATCTAGCAATCTAGATTCCTTAAGTCCACAGTGGTTCTTAAATGTTAGCATTTGTGAACACTTATTTCAAGGCCCCACCCCCAGAACTGTATGTAGTACCTCTTGGGAAGACCTGATAATCTACATTTCTAACAAGTTCTCAGGTGATGCTGATGCTACTTGGAGACCACACATGAAGAGCTACTCCTCTAAGACAGTGGTTTTCACTCTAGATGTGAAGAGATCACCTGCGAAGCTTGGAAAATGACACAAACAAAGCCCACACCTGAAGGTCTAAATCAAAACCCCGAGATCTTTGCAAGGGTTTTTTCCCTTCGATTTTTGTCTCTAAAGCTCCACAGATGAATCTAATACATGTCTGCATAGGAAGCCTCAGTCCTAAATAATATCAATAGCATAAAACTTGCATGCTAACAAGCAAAGCAGTGAGTGCTGGATGCCTGTGCCTCGTCAATCTTTTCCCTGACCCACAATGTGGAGTGTAAGGAGATTACTCACCCTGATACTCTCCCAATGCCTGTAATAATGCCACCTGCAGGGACCTCCTCATTGTCATACAACTGGTAACCTGCAAACTGGGATAATTCCAGAAACGGAGACCTGAAGGGAAAAAAGGATGTTTCTTGAATTAATGTCATTTTAAAATATATATATATTTTTTTTTAAATAATTACACATGGAAAAAGAAAAGATTTTTTTTCTTTAATGAGCCAGTGTTTCAAATATGCATGTTGTATATAAAATCTATAAAAAGAATACCTAAAACAAAATCTAGTGTGAATACTTTCAGGATTTATAAGGTATAGACATTCAATAGAAAACTAGGTACTTATTTTAAAAGGTCTTGTACAAATATGTTTATTAATATAGAAAAAGAATAGCACCTAAAACTTACCATGTGCCAGGCTCTCTTCTAGGACTTTTGGAAACCTAACTCATTTACTCCTAAAAACTACCTTCTGCGGTGGATCCTATTATGATCCCTATTGACTGATGAGGAAATTAAAACACAGAGATTAAGTCATTTGTCTAAGGTCACACAGCTAGTAAGTGACAGAGCTGGATTATAATAAGCAATCTGGGACCACTGTATTATTCTAGCTCTTACTTACACATACAAATATAAACCGTCTAGAAGGATATATGGTAGGTGTTAGCAGTGTTTGTTTCTCGGTTGGGTGTGTGTGTGGATGTCATAAAAAATACTTTTGGAATCTTCATTTCCTTCTCTCTACCTCCCTCGCCCCCCAAATCCAATCCTTCAGGAAATCCTGTTGGCTTAGCTCTGTCTTGACAACACATCCAGAACCTGACATTCTCTTCACCTCCACTACTAGTAGTGTAGTCCAAGTCACCATCATGTCTCTCTTGAATCACTGCGATAGCCCTCCAACCGGTCTCGGTGCTCCCACCCTTGCTGCCCGCAGTCTACTCACAACACATAAGCCAGAATAACTCTTTTCAAACATAAGTCAGTTAGATCAAGTAGTCTCCTGTTCAAAACCCCACAAAAGTTCCCCATTTCTCTCACAGTAAGAGCCAAAACTCTTATACTGGCCTACAAGATCTTGTGGAATTTGATCCCATTTCCTACTACTCTCTCCTTCATACCCTCTACCCCAAGCACAATGGTCTCCTGGCTCCCTGAGCCTATCAGCATATCCAGCACATTCCCACCTCAGGGCCCTTGCACTTGCCATTTCCTCTGCCTGAAACACTTTTTCCCCACATATTTATAGGACTTTCTCTAAATATATCACCTTCTCGACAAGGCCTACCCTAACCACCTTATTTTAAACTGCAACTTGACCCTCATCTTCTGCTCCCTTACTCTAGTCTACCTTTTCTTCTTCCCATTTCCCAGCTTCTAACATACTATATAATTTACAACATTTATCATTTATTTTCAATCTCCTCCTGCTACAGTGTAAACTCCAGTTGGACAAGGATCTTTGTCTATTTTGCTGACTGATGTTATCACTAGCCCCTAGAACAGTGCATGACATATAGTAGCCTCTCGATAAACATTTGGTGTTGAATCTTACCATAAGAACCAGAAGTTAAAATCACTGATTTACTGAAAACTGTCTAAAAACAAAAAAACAAAAAACTATCTAAGAAAGTGCCATGGAATAGAGAACACCGAGTTAGCACTTGGGTATATACTAACCCTGGGTCCATAAGGACATCGACTCTTTCTCTGGCTAATAATTTTCCTCTTGATATGTGGCGTTCTCGTGCTTTCTTGCTACCTCCTATGAAGAAAACAAAATCAGATTAGGTTAACATGATATAAGGTATCCATTTAACTTAATGCCAAAAATCCATATGACGATCCAAAATATAGAGCTTTTAAAAGTTCAATATATCGTGAGAAATAGCTAATTTTTCAGATCGCTCAATTTATAAGCTGACAATTTTCTGAAGTAAATAATTAAACTGGTATCAATCTATCCCTGATTTCACAGCATATCATACATTTTCTGAATTCATCAGTATTTAAAGAAATAACACAGTATTTTCTCTGCAACTAATGCATTGCAAATACTGCCTCATCTTCACCACATTTACTAAATACCTACTACAAATATCAAGCACTGTGTAAAATGAAATTTAAAAAATTGTACCAGGTAAAAAGAACTATTGTATTTTCTTTTATTTTTAATTTATATATATACTTTTCAATTACAGTTGACAAACAATACTATATTACTTTTGGGTGTACAACACAGTGATTAGACATTTACATAACTTACAAAGCAATCACCCTGATAAATCCAGTACCAATCTGCCACCATGCATTGTCATTACGATACAGCTGACTAGATTCCCATGTTATACCTCTCCATGACTATTTTGTAACCACCAGTTTGTACCTCTTAATCCCTTCCCCCATCCCTCACTCATTTCTCCACCTCCAAGGTGTCAACAATCAAAATGCTCTCTGTATCTAATGAGAAAGAGCATTATTTTAGAAATGACTTCCATGATTAAAGCACAGCAAAACTAACGTAAAGGCGCCATTAGTAACCCATAATTTTTTAGGCCGTCTCCAAATAGTAGACAATTAAACAGCTCACACAGCAATCAAAAGTCTCCTTTTGTTAGTATCTTGACTCAGAGGTTGGTCTTTGGTGTTTCCTGATGTTGTTCCAGACAAAGAAAATTACAATAATTTAAGAGTCCACTGTGGTAATCCAGTGAGGCTCCTTGAGGTAAGAGGCACACCAAACCTCACTCAGCCTGAAGGCTGCTGGGCTCTGGGTCTTGGAAATATGTATAACCCACTCACAGGAAACCAAGCTAACAGATCAGAAGAATCAAATTGTACCTTAATACGCTTATTTTTACTGCTTCCAAAGAATTTCATCTTAACATACTCTGTCTAATAAAATGTTCAACTGTTTAAGAAAACTATTTCTTTGTTTTTTTAGGTGAGAAAATAAGTTCATATCTATTTCAAACAAGCTTCCAAGTATATAGCCTTATTTTTCGAACCAGGACTCTTTCCTGTACCTAAGGGAATTTTTTTTTTCTTAAGTGGTGGACGGTATATTTTTAAGATTAAATCTGCCTTAAGTTTACAAGAAAATAGCATCACACTTCTAATCTTATATTTAAATGAAAATAATTCTGAGAGGGAAAGATTTAGTTGCAAAGTAGTGTAATTAAACCAAATCTCTTTTCTCCCAACCACAGGGAAGTTAGAATTCCCTACTGAGGTGGGTTTAGGGGTAAAAGAGGGAGTGAGGGAGGTCAGAGGGGTTACAAAGGGGCAGAGGAAACTTCTGGGAGCGAAACGTTCATTACAGTGATTGCGGTGATAGTTTCATGGGTATATAAGTATGTCAAAACTGAAAGTGTACTCTTTAAATGATATGGTTCATTTTATGTAAATTAATACCTTACCAAATCTGTTTAAAAATAAACGGTAAAAGAAAAATGAACCTAAAATGCTACAAGGAAGACCAGGTCTTGGTAAGGGTCTTTGGAGAGTCAGGTAACATAAGTACCCACTAAGAGGCTAGCAGGGGAAGGGGTGGCAAGAGAGGGTGGGATGACAAAGAAGTGATAAAATTTTTTAAGTACTTAGACATCACCTTTCTTAATTCTGCCTAGAGTTTGAATTTGCAGTTTGGAACAGCTAGTGAGTTCTGGTTTTATTAAGAAAAATCAGAAAGAGGGCTATCCTGATGCAGATTCTCAGATGACAGAATTAAGCTCCTCTGGCATTTAAACTGGCCTAAGATATGTGACCACCAACAAAAAGAGAGGAAGATAAAGCATCTTAGTTTTCCAAGAATTATTCTTAAAGATTTTGTGTTAATTTTCTCCATTCCCACATACCCAGAGCCAGATAAGCCTGTTTCTTTCTATCTCATTTACCATATTGCATCTTCATTTATCATACTGCATCATTTCTAAGACTTACATTTTGTTCACTTTTTAAGATCCCTGAAACCAGGAATCATTTTACAGTTTATAGCATCTTTCAGTCGCTGTCACCAGGGGACAGTCACCACACAGCTATCTGTGTCAGCATGCACAGCACAAGTGTCTAACTATAGTCACTTAAGCTGTTCTACCTGCATTGTTGGAACTACATGCCTAAAATTTAACTTCCACTTTAAAATGTTTTCAAAAACTACACAAGCCTTATCTTTAGATCCTTAAAAGACTCCTGTTTCAACCACCAAAACTGCTTATCTTTAGGTCCTTAAAAGACCCCTGTTTCAACCACCAAAACCACTTATCTTTAGGTCCTTAAAAGATCCCTGTCTCAACCACCAAAACCGCTTATCTTTAGGTCCTTAAAAAACCTCTGTTTCAACCACCAAAACCACCAAAATTATAAAATTATTGTAATTTTCTTTGTGTCTATCAACAGTTATCACCCAGCTTTATAAAAACTAAGCAATTCTGAATCTATCAAAACACAGCCCTTCAATTAACTTGTGTTAATCAAAGCACTTAGTTCTGGCTATTATAAATAACACAGCAGGGGTAATCCTTTTCCACCTACAGAAATGACTAAGCCACTCCTGGAGCAATCTTACATGCTCCAACAGGAACAAAAGGGGAGATTAAAGACAGTGCCCTGAGAAAACAACCTGAAACAAAGGCAGAAATGAGGCAGTAAGAAAGGACAAAACAAAAAGGAGAGCAAAAAGTCAACTAATTTTTGTCAACTTATTTATCACAAGTTCTCTCAAATGAAAATCTCAGGGGTTAACTTGTGAAGCAACTTGAAACACTGTCCCTTCCTCTTGTCTGAAATTTAAGAAATTTTATTAATTTAAATGTCAGAATGTCCAAATTCTACAATGGCATGAGGAGGTAAAAAATAGGAAAATGAATAATATTCTCAACTCTTGATCAACACAATAACTGCTAGGCTAGCCAATGAGCATTCGCATAGCAAAATCATAGACTATCTAGAGCAAAGTGCACAAACCCACCAAACAAACAAACAAACAAACAAACACAAATACACACATTTTGTTGTTAACGTTATTATGAGACTGACCAGAATTACATCAAAAAATATATGTATAGAGGAATTGTTTACGGGTAATTTTTTTCTTTTCTTCTTTATATTTTTCTCTAATTTCCAAAACTTCTGTAAATATATGTTACTTTTAAATTATACCTGTTGGTGTAACATCCATTTTCATGGCATAACAGGACCAATTCTAGGCAAAACTGTGAAGAAGTCTGAGTTTCTCCTCTCCCCTTTCTCTCCCTCTTCCCTCCCCAAAGAGCTCTACTCAGACCTGGATTCATCAACCCCTACCCCTCCTCACCCCATCCTTAGCAAGTGCTCAGTGCTAGAAGACTCTTTACCTCCTTTTATTCAAACCCACTTCTCTGAATGTCCAAAATGGCTTCAAGAGTATGATTCCAATTATCTTTCAGAGAAGCCTACCAGCAGGTTATCTTGCCCTGCCCCAAAATCACATCCAAAACTCATGTCACTTTTTAACATCATTTCTCCACATTAGAATAGGTGTTCAAGAGCTGTCTGGTCAAAAAGAATGACAAATGTCCACTAACCCTATTTCTGTAAATAACTCTCCTATTTACCTAGCTAGAGAAGGTAAATTAAGGTTGGCTGGGGCCAGTATAATTGACATTCATTGCTTCTGACTGCTTGCTTTTCCTGAACATGGTACTGCCACCACCAGGAAGTTCCAAGAGCTGCCAGTCACGGCATCCTAAAGCCCTGGATGAGCCTGGGTCCAGGCTGGCATAGTTAAGTACCACAACCTGTGAACATAGTGACTGGGCCAAGAAGCAAACATGGAACACAAATGAAACAATTAGAATTTTCCGAATTGGAGATGAAAGGATAGCTTGCACTTTCTTTCGGGTCGTAAACTATACGGATGTAATCGCTAACCTTGTCAGCAACCTAGTCCCTACCTCATGGAGAAGCCTGAAGAGCATGAGGTCCACACCTACATGTACACATCCCGAGATGGTGGCAGAAACAGTGTGTCCTGGAATGCGGGAACCCCTGGGTCCAGTCAACACTGCCTTTCCAAGATATGGTTACAAGAACCACTAAATGCTGCCTTCTGTATTAAACAAGTTTGGTTCGGATTTCTATGACTTGAAACCAGAGACCGAATACTACATCCCCTTTCAAAATAATATTCTTAATACATTATGAGTACCTATCCTGGAAGGTATTTTATATTATTTTTTAAAAAGTCTACCCTTGTCTAAGGCCATAACACCCTGAATAAGCCTAATCCCGTCTGATCTCAGAAGCTAAGCCAGGTCTGGTTAGTACTTAGATAGAAGACCACCTAGGAAGACCAGGTGCAACAGGTGTTTAAAAAATAAATAAATAAATAAAAATAACATCTGTTGCATTTTGAAAAAGGTAGCCAATTTACAAATAGACCTTCTCCCCAATACCCCCATAGATAGAATGGGAGCAATTATTGCCATCTGAATGAGGTCTTTGCTTTAACTGGTCCCACACTGAGTTTCCTATCTGTTTGTTCATGTCATGGTAACTTTTAGAGGATTTAACTGATTTGACACTAAATTATTCTAAGTAAAAAAGACAGAAACCAAGTTATTCCAAACAGCTCTATTTTCTGGTCTTGTCAATTAATTTTGATTAATCTGTTAAGTCAAAAGAAGACAGAAATACGTGTTTGAAGTGAATAGTGCCTGTAATTCACAGACTCATTCTCCAGGTTATGCATGAGGTACTGAAATTTTTTTAGAGGGATTAAATGATTAGACCAAGGATATTTAATTATTAGAATAATAAACTAGTCCAGCCCACCACTCTCAAAATTCTACAAAGGACCAAAATACTGAGCTTATTTCTTCTCTAATACACTAAACAAATGAATAGACAACTTTAGATAGCCTCTGTTCATCTGCCATTAATCAATTACCTTGCCTCCATTCTTAAAGTCCTCAGAGGAAAAAAAATAATATAAGGAATACTTTTTATTTAAACTAAAGAAAAACCCATCAAGACTTATCTAAACTATTTCTCTAATGACTTCTACTGAGAATGTCCTTTGAATGTGATAAGTTCATACCTAAGAATGCAATAATACTCTTAAACCACAGGTTTACAGATAAAATGGATTTTATCTATGAGGATATTAGGAAGAATTCTTTTTAAATAAAGGCTATAAAATTCATATAGCTCCTTTCAAGTTAGGTATTTGAAATATATTTTGGAAATGGCCTTTAGTTTCAAGTCACATAGCCTTCAAAATGCCGTATAGAGCAATAACAGTACAACAGCATACAATGTGGTATTTGTTTATATGTTAATATTTTACGTTCCTCCCTATATGCAATTTCTTCCAAGCAAAGGAGTGCCTGGTATGTACACAATTTAAAAAGAGAAAATAGCAGGGTGGGGGAAAATAAAAAAATAAAATGTTAAAAAAAATTATATATATATAGTATGAAAAAATGAACTGGAATTTAAAATATAAATAAATAAATGAGAAAAAAAGACAAAAGAAAATAATGACAATGTACAGTTTTTAGGAAATCTCATTTATTTAATTAGCAATAAACCCATAAATTATTTCCAAATTATAGAACAGCAGAAAATGCATAATTATTAAAAAATTTAGTATATAGTATGACTAAGACTAATGAACTGAAAACATTTTAATTGCCTCAAGTGAAACAAAAATTTCAGTGTAATGCTGTTGATGAAATAAACCTTAAGAAGCAATAGTTTAAAAATTGATGAACTTGAATTTCTACTTTTTCCCAAATAGTAGAAAATCTGGTCAAGTAATAGGAAAAAATAAAATAGCTGCATACCAACAAATGCAGTCTTGAAGAGTTAAAAGCTTAGTTTTTCCTAAAACCAGTAATTTATAAAGGGACATTTTAATTAAAAGTGTGAAAAACAACATAAATGGAGCCACTTCAAAAAGGAGTCAGAGCTACAATTTCAGACAAACTGTCCTGCACATATAACTCCTCAAACTTTTAGAATGTTAAAACTGGGCAAAATTACCTTTGGACCGGGCCTAAAGCAGCATTGTTTGCTAAGTAACTATTTGCAAAGTTGATAGGAAAGCAGACATGACTACTGTACTGAAAATTAGACGTTCTTTAGAATTATCATCTCTATGTTAGCTTATCGGCATCTATAGAAATTCCTTCCTTAGCTTATTAACACCCAGAGAAATGCCTTCTATTCATGTAATTATTCCCTTTAACTTTCTGATAAATATCCCTCATCTTCATCTCCTAAGTGGAACACTATTTGGGTTTTGGCCTGAATCAGTGCTTCCAGAATTGCTATTCTTTTGGATCTCAAATGCTTGCTGCCTCTTACTTTGGCCTTTTATTTTTAGGTTAACAAAAGCATAAACTGGAGAATAAATGAGTGTTTACCTAGTTTTATATTCTGTGCTCGTTCATAGAGTTGATTTACTAGTGCTTTCATCTGTTCATAGTTTTCCTAAAACAGAAACAAAGAGAGCAATATTAGAAAGCAATTATTTTTTGTACCAAAATAAGAGTTAAGGAGAACATCATGTGCCACCCCATGTGGGTCCACACTAGGCCATCCCCCACCGATGCGATCGCCATTCCATTGTATGGAAAAGATTAATTTCTGCCCCTCTCTTTGCTCAAGTTCTTTACTACCACCACTCCTCTCTGTCCATCTATCCAAATTTGTGTGTTCCATCTCATCTCCAATACCATTTTCTGCCCCTTTTACTCATTTTAACTTTCTTCTTTAAACATCTACTGAACTTAATTGATATCTATTTGTTTTTGTATCATAAGGAATATAAGCCATATATTCCTTAAGTTTAAAGGGTTAGAATGACGTCTTATTTTTTCTGTTCCATCTATCACTATCCTGAGATTCTACCCAATGCAGAAATACTGACAAATTACACTGAAAAAATAAAATCTACATGTGACTACTGCACTCAAAGCTCCTTTATTTGGTCACACAATTCCATCTACTCCATGAATTCCACACCCTAGCCATGATTTCCAAGTCCTCACACCCACTATACACTTTCACAACTTGGTATCTATGTTCTTGTAGCACCCTTAGTTTGTACAGTCTTGCCTCTCATCCTCTACTGAACCTGGTCAGCTCTTATCCAACCATCAAGATCCAATGCACTCATTATTTCCTATGTGGTTTTCCGCAACCACCTTTTCAAGCTTTAGACACCACTTACCATAATGCACTATAGTTACCTCCTTTCTTGTTCACCTTCCCCACAGAATTATAATTCCATTCCCATACATTTGTCCAGATACCTAAAATAGTGCCTAGACCAAAGTAACCACTTAATGTTTCTGAATTAAACATTCTCTCCTAACCACAGGAAATTCAAAGACTTTTGGAAGCCTCTCATTGGATATTGTTTGTCTCAGCCTGCTGATTTTCTTTCAATTTTGTTTTGCCAAAGGCAGGAATTCTTTAAAATGTCTTCTCTTGTCTTTAAAATGTCTTACATTTAAATGTAATCAGTAAAAGCTTGGCAATCATGGGACAGACTGAAATTTTCCAGCTGATATTTCACAAGTTGCAAGTAGCTTCTTTGGCATTGTAATAGCTCTCAGTGCCAAGCAAAGCCATTCAAAGCTATAGGGGGACACGTATTTTCTATTAATATAAACGAATATTTAAAGTCTGATAAGCACTACTTTTAAGGTTTAAGATTAGCTCTCTTAGGCTAGTGGTTCCCAAAACTGGATGCAACCATGCTCCCAATACTTCATTAAACATGTAAACACCAGGACCCCACCCCACGGACCCAAAAGATTCAGGGTGAGGTTTAAAGCAGCTAGATATTCAACGAACTCCCAGGGTGACATTGCTAAGCCCGGTTTTGAAACCCACTAATTTCAAAGTATAGCGCCGATGCTAAAAGTGAACTAAAATCACTTTAATTTGAAAAACTTGTTTTTCGAACTTCACGACCGCTTAGTGCGTCCCAGAATCATGGCTGCGGATCCAGAGAAAAGAACAACAGCTGTTCAAGTGTGCCAAGCCTCCTCTTACTTCTTAGTCCAGCCAGCGCCTAGTCCCGTGGGTCCGGCACTAGCGGAGACATAATAGGGGAATAACAGACTCGGCACAGGGGCTGCAGGCTTGGGCTGCTCACCCGGCATACCTTGTAGATGGCTGAGCCCGAGTCCGGCTGTGTGCCCAGCGTGGCCACCGAGTCCCCGTGATAGGCGCGCGGCCCAGGGACAACAGCGCGGGCGCACCGCCACAGGGCTAACCTCCGGGTGGCCCACATGGCAGCAGGCACAGAACAAAGGAGAAGAGCGAGAGAGCTGCCTGCGCCGGGCCAGAACCGGTGCTTTTACCTCCCGCTTCCCCGCTTGGGGTTAGGGCTCAACAGGCTTTTTTCCACACCAACCCAATGCCCGAAACATCCCGGATACCCAGGCCAATCCCGGCACGTGCCTCCGCATGTCGCCCGTGATTGGTCGGCGCTACACACCACGCCTTTCCAATTCAGCCAATAAGGAACAGGGCTTAACCCCGCGAGGTCCTGTCTCATAGCGACCCCAAGAGCACTGTGAGTCCAGAGGCTGAGCGACACTTTCGTGGCCGTCCCGTTTCCCGGCGCTCTGGTTTGATGAACTGCAATTCAATTTCTTTGGAATCGGTCTCAGTTCATTTTCTATTGTGCTGTCTTCTTCCCCTCCTAATAAAAAGGGTATTCTAGGACTTTGAAAAGCTTATGCTTATATGAGAGCTGGAAATTGAACAGATATCAATTAAGCTGCCCTAAGAAATAAAACTATTTAAGAGGACAAACATATTTATTCATTAAGCAAATATTTCTTTAATATCTCCTGTGTCAGGTGCTCCTCTGGCGCTGGGGATACAATGAACAAATGTCTTCTTTTATAAAGCGGGAAGAGCATAAGCAAAAATAAAAATTCTAATAGTGGTAAATTACAACTTAGAGATACGATTGCAATGTACTTAAACAACTTTGCCTCTAACGAATCTAGGCTTCCTCACTCACTGGACGATGAGGGGGAAAAAATGAACCTTATCTAGTCCATTTGTCTTTGATCCATTTTGAGTTAATTTTTGTATATTTTATAAGGGTTCAACTTTATTGTTTTATATGTGGACAGCCAATTCCCTTAACATAATTGTTGAAAAGACTGCCCTTTCCCCATTGAATAGTCTTGGCACCCTTGTCAAAAACCATTTGACCATAGTATATGCAACAGTTTATTTCTGGGCTCTCTAGTCTATTCCATCAGTCCATGTCTGTCTTTACCAGTACCAGTTTTGATTACTGTAGTTGTGTAGTAAGTTTTAAAATCAGTGTGTCTTCCAACTTAGTTCTTCTTTTTTGAGTTTTTTGTTTTATTTTGTTTTGTTTTTGGCTACTCAGTGTGCTTTGAGATTCCATATTAATTTTAGGGTTTTTCTATTTCTGCAAAAAAAATGTCAATACAGTGTAACAACTATTTACATAGCATAATAGCATAATAAATGGTAGCTAGTTGTTTTAAAGTGAAAGGTTTTTAAATATCTGGGCAAGGGGAATGAAGCTAAAATAATAAAGTCAGAGTGAGTTGAGTACACGAAACGTGTCATATGAAGTATTTTACCTTTATACAGGTTGGCCCCAAATTTAGCTTTGCATTGCAAAAGAAAACTCAAGGAGTCACACAGCCCATATAAAAAAAATCAGACCAGTTGAACAGAAGTCCAATTATTCCTGGCACTGAGGCAAAACAGAAATATCTACTATAGATTCCTCTAAGTAGGATACTGGATGGCAAAATAAAATGTACAACTATAGCAAAATAAACAATTTCTTTAGGCTTTTAGACTATTTTAACAATGTTCCTAAACATGAGCAGACAAAACAATGTAACCCATATTCATAGCTTTCTAATGATCTGACAAAATCCAAGACAAAATTTTAGTCTATCTGGAGAAATGACTAGACTACCCTTTAGGAAAGTTTCCAGAAGTATTTTTCTCAGCTAAATTTTTTGACTGAGATTTTGCCAATATCCACTTAAGAAGTCTAGGTTTATGTTATCTAGGACTAAAGTTTCCCATTTCCTCTACAGAAAAAAACAAAGTGGGAAGAAAGCAAAAGAGGCTACATTCTTATATCTAAAAATTCATTCTATAAGGAATAAATAAAAAAGTAAGCAACTCTTCATATGTGCCAAATGTGGGGGAAAGTTTATTCTTTATTCAAAAACATATCCTTCACAGCATGCATATAGAAAAAGGATTAATTCTCCCAGTTATACACTTAGCCCTTAGTATCCACAGATTCCATCTCTGCAGATTCAACCAACCTCAGATTCAAGCAACCATGAATGCAATATATTTGAAAAAAAAATATTATGTTGTTGCTGATGTGTACTACGTAGTTAGGCCTAAAATGGTTGCATTTGTAATGAACATGTACAATTTTTCTTGTCATTACTCCCTAAGCAATACAGTGTAATGACTATTTACATGGCATTTACTATGCATTAAGGATTATAAGTAATCTAGAAACATTTTAAAGTATATAAGATGTACATACGTTATATGCAAATACTATGTGATTTTCTATAGAGACTTGAGCATCTTCAAATTTTAGTACCCGCAGGTGGTTCTGAAAGATTCCAAGGGATGACTCTTATATGTTTTTATGGAAGGAAGAAAGTAAGTATAAGCTGTAGTGGAAAAATTACTAGTTTTGCTTAAATAACATTGAAGACACACAAAAATAGTATAAAATAACTTTTATTTACATAATTTATATCTACAGAACATAACTGCTTTCTTTAGAACAAGAAAATTTGCAAATGACAGATATTGCTTTTTTGTCACAGACTTCTTCAAGCAAGATAGTATACATGGTCACTTCTATTTCAAATAACATGGTGGTAAACAGTGGATATTCATATTTTTATCTGTGCCTCAATCATTTACTAATAATTAGGCTTTTAAACCATCATGTTGATCATTGCTAAGATATAAGCATTTAGGAGGAAAAGTCAAGAGAATACAAAGACCTTTGATCATAGCTCCTTTTAAGATTTATATAATACAAATTCTTCTCAACATCATCATGACATGAATTAGATTAAATACAGATGTGAAAAAATCTTTCCACCTTGTAAGGTAAATACACTGATTACGTTTTTCTTTTCCCAAGATTAGTTTTAAGGATATAACAATAGGGTCATTTAGCTGGCTGACTTGATTCACTAATACAATGAATGCCCAAAGATAAAATTATTCTTTATACAATAAGAAGTTACATCTTTCGTAAAATTAATTCACTGTAGATGAACAAGAGACAGACATTAACGAAGTTAAAAAATATTATACAGGAATAAAATAATAGTTTAATTGTGGCAACCTAACACTCAAATTAACATTAATCAAGTGAAAGAAAGCTTTTAGAATATGCGATCTTTAAAATTTTATAAAAACAGCATTAAAATAGCAATGTGATTTATGATTTACTACCATGATTTTTCTGATATGTTAATCACATGAAATAAATAAATACCTATTGAGAATTTCTGCTCAGATTTATGGACCCCCCTTATGACAAAAAAATTAAACTAAATTTCAGTTTATATAAGGAAATGAAGAAGTGCTCTAATATCAATTGTTTTAATAAATTAGGATTACTGTTGTACTTCTTCCTGATCCATATCCTATTTTACTAATGAACTTGAAAACTGGCCACCATTTTTTTCCCTTACAGAAACACAATTAAAATATTTCTCCAACTGAAACACTGATCCTTTCATAATATAATTAACACAGTTTTAATTGTTAGGCACAACTTATAACTTCAATGACAAATATCTCATTGGATAAAGACATCAGCACCTTAAGGTAAAAAAATTACTGTCTAATGTCGGGGTCAAACTAAAAGCTTAATCCAGCCATGCCCATCATTTAGGTATTGCCTGTGGCTGTTTTCAACCGAAATGGCAAATAGAGTATTTACTGCCACAGGCCATCTGTCTCACAAACTTGAAAATATTTTGTGGAAAATGTTTCTGACTCCCAGTCTACTATATTATCAACCCAGGATGCTTTTCAAATACAAGAATAAATCTCTGTGAGAAGTTTCATTTGAACCACCAAAGATTTGCTTGGGTGGGTAACAGAATTACATAAATAAATCACAATATCAAAAAGAACCCTTAAATTCATATTGATGATAACTGACTTAATAAGGTCTTATTATCTTATTTTCTATTTTTAACATCACAATTATATTCTGTGCTTAAAGGCCTAAGTGTTCCTCAAGTAGAATTTAATAGGGGGAAAAGCTATCAAGAAATTTGTATTTTAAAAAAGGAATGTGTATGTATGAGTATATGTCTGTGTAAAGGAGATAGAGTTTTGTATGGAAATTTGTCTCATAAATGAAGTTAAGGGGTTTTTTCCCATACAAATAAATCCTGAGATTATCCAAAAAATAAGAAAAAAAACATTTCACAGTACAAAGTCAATACACTAAACTATGAGAAAAAGTATTCAAAACATATACACTATCCAAACGCTTTCAGTTATATCAATTTAAATATCTTTAAAATTAAAGAAGGAAAGGAGACAAATTTGTGAATGCCTTCTTTACCTATAATCTGAGGGATGAAATAATTAAAACTGAATATTCTTTTAAATAAAAAAATTTAAAAATAAATAGCTTTTTGATGTTTTATCTTTATAAATAATAAGTTTAAATACTAGTTCTTCAATTAGGACTAATGTTACATCAACATGAAATAGAAAAATACATATTTTTCAGTCAAACAGCTGATAATAGAAAAGTTTTTAACTTTTACTATACTAAAGTGGAGTTTCACAATTTGCTTTCATATACTTAAAAGGCAACTGAAAAGGCCTTAACCATCAAAAACAAAATCCAAACAAATAGAAAAAAACCCTCACAAAAGTAGGTCACTAAATGTTAAATACAATCCACCTCCAAATGTATTGGCACTGTGATTTATAAAGACATTTATCCACGCACAACATTCCAAAATGTCCATGTGTGTTCAGTACAGGAAGAGTCAAAATGTAAACAAGAGTTGCTATTTCTGTCTGAGAAAGCAATCTTAACTGCTTGTATCTCCAAAATGATGAATCAACCAGAATGAAAGGAACCTCAGTAATGTTATCCACTGATTATAAAAGCTTCAAACCAGGCTCATTAAATAACTGAAATCAACCTAAAAAAAAATAGACAGTGATGCTTTTTTCTTAATACTGTTTTGTTAATATAATTTACTCTGGAAATCCTGGACTTAACGAAGGAAAGAAAAAAGACCTTATTTTGTTTCATCCACTTCAATAAAGATATCACTAAAGAAATATTCAGAGACTGTGGTTGGCTCCTCTTCAAGTACCTGATTTTGGACACTTCTACATTCTTCTTTCGGTAACGAACAATCACAAGAAACCTAAAAAGGTAATAAAAATAAGTGTGCAATATAACAATTTATAAATCTGGTGGTGGCAGTCTAAATTGATATCTGTTTGAGAAGCAACATAGCATTAATATTAAGAGTTTTAAATATGTTCATACCCAATAATTTCATTTCTGTGCTATTATATTAAGGAAATAATCCTAAACACAGTAAGTTTTATAAATAAGAAAACCTTGGTAGCATTAGTTACAATAATAAAATTGGAATA